ATATTAAAAAGTTAAAGAGGCTCATTTTACAGAACGGCTTCCTTGAATAGTAAATTTTATTTTTACTAATTATCCCACTACAGTGACTTTTATCAGACTAATCTAAACTTTTAAAATAACTATTGAAAAATGTCGTTAGAAACAAAAAAAATAAAGCTGAACTACTACGTAATATCAATCCTCCTACATGACAGTGAATAATGGACAATTGCATCACAAATGAAAAGGCAACAGTGATGCTGTTCTACGGAAGGATGCTGAGAATACCATAGATAGGTCATGTAAGCTACAAAAAAGTTTTAAAAAATGAGAGCAAAAAGACACTTATACTTGGTATCGGAAAGAGACTTGGAATTTCTAAAATACATAAAGAGGAAAGAAAGGTTTGAAAATTTGATACTCACAGAGCATATTAAAGGGTAGAGGGACAGAGAGAAACAGCAAGTCAACTACCTAATGAGCTTGTGTAAATGATAGAATAGAGAATTGGAAGGTCAGTAAAAGGACAAACGTTGCAAAGGGCTATGAAGGAAAGGAAATAGTGGAGAGCTATGATCAGCCTAATGAGCTTGTGTAAATGTGTAAATGATAGAATAGGGAATGAGAAGGATAGTAAAAAGACAAACGTTGCAAAGAGCTTTAAAATATAGGAAGTAGTGGAGGACCATGATCAGCCTAATGAGCTTGTGTAAATAAATGGCAGAACAGGGAATGGAAGGGATAGCAAAAAACAAACGTTACTAAGTGTTACAAAGGATATGAAGTTTTGGAGAAATATTATCGTCCACGTCCTGATAGGACACGGCAATAATAATAATAATAATAATAATAATAATAATAATAATAATGTTCTCTCTACTTGAAAGATCGGTCAAACACAATTCTCCTACCGAGATTTAGTTTTGTACGGGACGAGGCTTAACTTATTAAATATCTATCTTCACAAATATTCCTCCTATTTCCTGCTTTTAATTTTTTACTGTTTATGCCTGAGTGATTTTCAATCATCCTTTCCAGCGTAATTCTATATTTTGTTTATTGTCATGGCTACCTTAGTCACAAATTACCTGACAATTTCTTTTTTACAGGTATTCAATGAATTTCTTTTTGTTTTTCTATTGTTAAGAAACGGTTCTGAAAAGAAAACACGCCCTAAGGAAAGAAAGTAAGAAAAAAAAAGTGACCTAAGGGAAGGAGAAAAGAAAATAGGCGAACAAAAATGGGGTGGGAAACAATAGGATTATAGAAAAGTAGAATAGACTAACAAGTAAATTTGGGAAATTTAGAGAAAGCGGGGGGACTAAGGAAGATGACAGGAAAGATGTAATGGAAGACAGGAACTAATTAGTCGATAGTTGTAATTATCTAAACCAGACTACTGTGGGCCCGGTACAGATATGATATTGTGAATATAAAGGTCTTATATAAGCATACAACGCGACCCTCGTCCAAGCTACCCACCGATCGGCCAATGATTACCCTAGGTTGAATTTCGATTCTCTGAAAGATGGGAAGTGTCCGCTGCATGCTCACAAGGTAACAAGATCAAAGACAAACGCCTCGTGGAGAAATAAGAATGTGGGTTCTGTTTCCTGTATTATAAAATAGATATTTTATTCAGGACTTAGGACTGGGTAGGGAGGTAGATGATACTTGGAAAAACTCTGCTATGTTGGTCTAACAGCTCAGCTCTTCCCCCTACCAACTCCGCGCCCATCTACTCATCCCGACGTAGTGGCTAGCAATATGAATAGACAGCACAGGAACCATGCGACGAACAACTCCATTTTCCGCCAACGGCAGACCAGAAGTCTCTCCGATCCCAAGAACGCCAATAATATAGACCAGAACCCGGATGTATTCTATTTCCAGTTTTCTTGCCACTTGATCTACAAAAGCAAATTATTCACTACTTTATTTATCATCCCTCTTCGGTTAGTGGATATCGTTTAGAAAATTAGCCTTCAAAATGGACCACCTGCTGGCCATTAAACAGAAACACTTGAGATCGAGATAAAACCACAGTTGAACCCCAATTTAGTTGTGTATAAAATGACTCATTAAACTAAGTGTCTAAAAATCCTACGTTTTGAATCTAGCACAATTAGTTTGTAAATCTAGACGTCTTAGATTCCGTTTCAAATTTTATTTTGGACCGTAATTTAACCGTTTATAAATCAGGTCGTTGAACTGAACGTATAAAAGACTAACCACAGTTTAAAATTGAATCGAATAACTAAAAATTTTATGTTCAATGTAGAATCAAATTAGACGTGTATTTATGAACTTGTTTTAATCTTACAAATTATCTTTCATACAATCAATTAAATCGCGTAAGGAAACACTAATAATTTTAATTTTTATAATATAAATTATAATAATTATATTTAAAATATATCATTTTAGTTTTCATAATTTGATTTTTAAAAGCCATTTCTTGGGATTGTTAGTGGAGTGATTTCCTTTTGCCTACTTTATGGTGATTTTATTGAGACATTACCTCGACTTAGCTAGCCGTTAAAAGTTCTTCCGTACTTTGATAGGTTTTATTTTTCATTATACACTGTTGCTAACAACCCGCCTCACACGCAAGAAAATGGAGTGGGAGTCGCCGACTATACGCAATAACACACACACACACACACACATATATATATATATAAGTTTTAACTTAGTTAAAATTAAAAATTATTATTATTATTATTTCAAATTTAAAGTAACTTCTTACCTTGACTTAATAGTGAAAGAGGAATTCATCATTCAATTTCGATCCGAGCCAAAAAGTTTCATAGCTCACAATCAGAAATTTGAATTTAAAAATAAAAATGTTTATATTTTTTTTAAGCTACGGAAACTGAAGAGGACCAAAGGCAGCATTTATACTTCAATACGACAGACTTCTGAATGACCCGAATGCAGAAAAGAATATATGAACAGTGTTAAAATCACATAAAATGAACAAGGTTAAAATGAAAACTCCAAGTAGATCACATTGACTGAAGCTTTAATAACATCAGCAATCAAGGCCAAAAAAAAAAAAATGGAATGGATGACAGATGAAATTCTTGTCCTGATAAAAAGTAGACCAAAACCAATGCCAAGGTACGGCACAGAACATAGGACCACTGAACAAAGAAATTAGGAACAACTATAGACACTGGAACAAAGAATCTGATATCTATGCTCAGAATGGTATCAGAAAGAGCGATACAAATGCAAAAGGATATATATCTATGTTTTATTGATTATGCAAAAGCGTTTGATAAAATACGTCACAAAGAACTGCTGGCACCGCTAGCTAACCTTGACATATTTGAGAAGTATATTAGAATAATCTACAACCTATACTGGCAGCATACCGATAGAAAATGAATTTAGTAAATATACAAAAATAGAAAGGGGTGTAAGACAAGGATGTGTCTTCTCATTAGATTTATTCAACCTATGCAGTGAGGTGATTCTGAGAGAAATAGGTCCTACCAGGATTGATTATTGGTGACCACAATCGTAACAACATGAGGTAAGCATATGACACGGTGTTGGTAGCAGACATAGATTAGTAACTGCAAGAACTCTGACAGAAGGCTAGGAAGGAACGCGAGGAGAAAGGACTAAACGTTAATTGTAAGAAGACAAAATACTTGGTTGTTAGTAAAAGGGACAGCCCAAAATGCAAATTACAAAGTGGGGACACCAAAATCAAACAATTACAACAATTTAAATATCTGGGAAGGACAGTAAATGCGACATTGAAATTCAAAGACGCAATGGAATAGCAAAATATGCCTTCCATAAGCCAAGCAAAGTATTAAGAAGTAGTAAACTGTTACGTAATATCAGTTTTCCTATATGGCAGTGAATGTTCTCCTATATGGCAGATGATGAGGAGACTTTAAGCAACAGAAATGTGATTCTATAAAAGAATACAGAGAATACCATGTACCGAACATGTGAGCGACGACGAAGTTTTAGAAAAAAACGGAACCAAAAAAGACAGTAAAGATTCCTAGGGTTTGGAAAAATGAATACTCACTGGACAGTTTGAAGGCAAGAGGAAAACAACTCATAACCTACTTAATGAACTTGTATAAATGGATAACAAAACAGGTTTTAGGAGAGATAATAAAAAGATAAAGTTTATTAAGTGCTACAAAGGACACAAAATTGTGGAGTGTCATGATCGCCAACGTCCTGAAGGGACCCAGCATATAGAAGAAGAAGAATCACATCAACTTAATGCCTGATAGAGCATAGCGGAAATAGATTTGGAGATGTGAATTATATCGGGTCATATTTGGCAACAAATGTGTGTTCAAGAATTCAGATGTTCATCAGTCTGGGTGTGATCGTAAGGTCAATGCGCAGCTGACCACCTGACCAGTTCCCTTCACATATTTGGGTTGAAAGTCGAAGATGTATTCATTCATGAACAATGTATCTCAGGCAAGTAAACCTGACAGAGACCATCGCTCTCCAGGCCAAACCACTACCGATATTCTCCAACTTGAAAGCTCATCTTACTCACGGACACGTAGCCATTGACTGCATCGATGAAACCGTACGCACTAATCGTTGACTTAATCCTAGGGAGCTCCCCACTCATCGGTGCCATGTCACCGCCGCACTAGATGTTTATATTCAACCGCCCTGTTGACAGGTCTTGTTTTTAATCCTGCTGGGTGTCTAGCCACTCTTCTCACTAAAAAAGCCTGAAGCGGGGATAGGTTTAGTCGCCGATGATCCGATCATGCATCAGATAGGACCGAGTTACATGGTACCGGTCACACTCTAGAATGACCAGAGAGATGATATCCATGAAAAAATATTCGTTTTTCAGAATTTCTATTTAAAGTTTGAGTACTCCTAAAAATGGAGAAAAAAGGAGAGTGCGAGAAGTTGGGGGTGAGGGACAAAGGAATGAAAAGGAAAAAGTAAGAAATATTTGTACGTGGGCGTATTAGCTTTCAATGGTTTATGAGTGCTTTATTCCATATAAAAGTATGTTGCGATGGATAAAAGAGAATAAAGGTAAACCATTAATAGCTAATATTCGCTTGACAAAAGAACCAATAGACTGCATGAGTGTGCAAGTTTACACAGGTGGAACAAGAGATGAATTAAATACAATTAGTCTATCTATCTATCTATCTATCTATCTATCTATCTATCTATCTATCTATCTATCTATCTATCTGTCTGTCTGTCTCAATGTGCTCACTACATATCTATCTATTTCAAGTGACAAATTTTATATTTGTATTAATCCTATACATGCCTGTGTATGTGTGTACGTATGTATGCATGTATGTATGTATATGTGTGAAAAATTCAGATATAAGTAAAAACAAAAGTAAAACTTTTATTCACCAAAGCATTTTGTCTCTTTCAAGGACTTCATATTTACATATATATATATATATATATATATATATATATATATATATATATATATATATATATATATATCAATAAATCTATATATATATATATATATATATATATATATATCAATAAATAAATTAATTGATTTAAAATATGGTTTTTCCGCTAGACAGTTCTAACCATGTTTCAACAATGGAAAGTCCGAATTTGAATTTTGTAATTAAATTAAAGACATTAGTTCCATTTCATCCTCAAGCGAATTTTTTTCAATAAATCTCTCTCTCTCTCTCTCTCTCTCTCTCTCTCTCTCTCTCTATATATATATATATATATATATATATATATATATATATATATATATCAATAAATATACATTTTTCATGATTTTCATATATGAAACTCTGAGTTGTGTTACTGGCGAGGAAAAATGTATATTTATTAATATATTCTTAATAGCTCTGTTATATTATATCGCGCACTATTTTATTAACACCAGCACTCAGTGTGCGATATCTTTTATATATATATATATATATATATATGTGTGTGTGTGTGTGTGTGTGTGTGTGTGTATTGATATAATATGAAAGAACTGTTAGATTGATGATCCGAAGTTCTTTAGTATTTTTGTTTTTAAAAAATAGTACTCGATACAGAAGTAGAGCTTAAAATTATGATTATTTTTTAAAACCTGATTCCATCGCGACACAGAAATTACTATGTTGCGAAACTGGCCTACCGTATTCAAGTTTAATTTCAATATTAAACCTTAACTGTCGGATGACAAGCGATGTTTGGATTACAAAAATAATTATATATATACACACACACACACACACACACACACACACACACACACACATATATATATATATATATATATATATATATATACTCAATAAATCCCCTTTCTACTGAGGTATAGGAGAATTTATTTAACACAACAATATTTATTTTTTAACATAATCTCCTTCCTTGTCAAGTCAGTCGTCAATATTAATAACATAGATTGAAGATTATTCTATGAGATCAAATTTATGCTAAAGCTACGTGTACGCGTTTAGACTTACTGATCCAACTTCGTAGCTACCACAAAAACGTTTCTTCTTTTTCTATGTGCCGTGTCCATTCAGGACGTGGGCGATCATGATTCTCCGCAATTTCCGGCCCTTTGCAGCATTAAGTAAATTTTTTTTCTCTATCTTTTATTCCCTGTTCCATTTGCCCAAGGTAGTTTGGTAGATTATACGCTGATTTTCTCTCTCTCTGCTGCCTTTAATATGTCCTGTCTGTGTTAAATTTTATTAAGACCTCTTTCCTCATTACATGCTCTAGAAATTTCAGTTGTCTCTTTTGGACTCTAAGTATAGGTCGCCTTTTTGTTTTCATTTTCTCTGAAATTTCGTCGTTGCTTACATGTTCAGTACATGGTATTCTCAGCATCCTTCTGTAGAATCACATTTCTGTTGCCTCAAATCTCTTTATCATCTGTGATGATATAGTCCAGCATTCACTGCAATATAGTACTCAAATCGTTTTTTTTAACCAGATTTTCCTATTTCTTAATACTTTGCTTAGCTTCAAGAAATCATCTTTTGCTATCCCAATGCGACTTCGGATTTCAGTGTCGCAGACTTTTGCAGATTATTGTACTTACTCTTTTCTTGTTTTTATCTTTAAATTATTATTATTATTATTATAAGTTTTCCCATTTCACTGAGGCAAACAATAAATACATGAGGATGTTATTGGCTCCTCTTTCTTTCTTTCTTTCACTGAAACTAAACAGAGTTTCTGATGTGTCTTTTCTGTCTTTCCTCGCAAACGGAATATTTTATTATTTATGAGGTATTGGTAGGGCATAACATTCGTGCCAAATAAACAAAGAAGTAATGCGTGTTATGATATTATTATTATTATTATTATTATTATATGAATTTTCATAATAATATTTATTATCACTGAAATTCTAATGACAAGGCTGTTCAGATTTCGAGTATGCTTCTCTGCATCATTATTATCTATATTATTAGTAGTATTGATATTATTATTAGTAGTATCCTCTTTTCTTTCTTTTTACTATTGTTTGCCAATGCAAGGCCCAACAGCCACTCAAGGTAGACAGTTACGAACATTCTCGGATCAGTAGTAAATATATATGCAAATGATACTTCGGTGTATGGATGCACCTGCAAAAATAAAGTTAACCAGAGCCTGGCAACTGATCTCTCCTATAATGTAGCTCTAACAGCTCGATGAGGAAAACAAGATGGAGCGCTCAATATCTCTAAAATCAAGCTATTTACGTTGCATTATTATCGAGTAGACTCTGAATTTCCTCCAGTCATGGTGAACAGTTGTAATCTCAACGATACTCCTTGCCTGGAACGGCTATTGGGACTCAAGTTCATACCAGATATCAAGTGAAACTCATTTATACGATCCATCGCTAAAGATGCTCGAAAGATGGTCAGTTTCTTGTGCCGATCCAGAAAATACCTGACTCTATGCTATGCTTTATGCTTACAAAAGTCACTTCAAACCAAAAATGGAGTACTGCTGCCACATCTGTGATAGAAATAGCCAATACTTATTTCCCTTTCTTGACAGAGTTCAAAATCGTCTAGCATAGATAAGGATTTTTTTTTTTATCTTTACAGCCCCTTTTCTACAGACGAAACGTCGCAAGTTTATTGGTATCGCTACTCCATAATAAATGTTCAGATGAACTACAGTTCTAAGTTCTACCAGTTCAGACGTTTACAGCTAAGACTATCTATTCAAATGGTAAGAATGATGTTCTTCCAAGGAACGGCTATTTTGTGGATGCTTTCCAGATCACTACATTCTGAGCATTATCAAATCATCCATTATATGTCCTAGATACCCCCTTTTGCTAACTTATGGATGTAAGAGGAGAAAGCACCTATTCGGTAAATCTCTACCTTGGGTGAATTTGGGGCCTTGTATTGGAAAAAAAATTATTTAAAAAAAAAAAAAACACGAAATCCTGTTTCTTCATCAAGGAAAATATTTCTACTGTCGACCCTTCTGTACAGTTTCTCATTAGACATCTTGTTAGGCTAGTAGATCTTGCAGATCTTTCGTAACCAGATCTATTCTAGAAAATGTCAATCATTCTGGTATTTTTCCTCATATCTCTCCGACATTCACAGCCATAGAAAAAGATTAAGTTTGCTACTGGTTTTAGGTTTGAGGCTGTATTTCTTGGACATTCATATGTTGCTGAGTTGATTAAATCATCACTTATTTATTAAGACGGTACTTTCCAGTCTCGATAGAATCCAAAAGCATCTACGCGGCCTTGTGGATGATGAATTGGAAAACAATTCTACAACCCCTTAACCACAGACAAAATGTTACAAGCTTCTCGCTATTCTATCGCTATTTCCATGGAAAGTGTTCAGACGAACTACTTTCCTTAGTTGTACCAATTCTAATCTTCACAGCTAAGATCCGCCAGGCCCATCACATTGTAGTAAACTTCCCTCATTCCCTTCGTATTCCATTAGTGAAAAGTAAGTTGCACTCGAACAGCTTCTTCCCACAAACCGCTATTTTGTGGAGCCGACTCCCAAGAGGATGCTTCCCTGATCACAACACCCTTAACCTTTTCAAATCTAAGGTTAACCATTATCTTCCTTATATATCCTCATAAACTCTTACCTCTTACGCTGTAACCCTCTTCGGGTAGCTCTTGTGTTTTTTACAGGATGAACATTATTGTAAACATTGATGTATTTTGGAGTACCATTTTTATTTGTTCCTGAGCCTTCGGAGATATTTGAAATGTTCAACGACCTCTAATGTCTCTCTCCGAATTTCTCATTTTACCAGAACTCTTCTTTCCGTTTGGGAAAAAGGACCCCTTTTTACCGGAATTGAAATCAGATTTTTTTATTTGAAATATAAACTTGTATCATTGGACGTCAGTGACCAGATCAAAACCAGAGATCGAACCAAAAATCCATTAATTCGATTTCCTCTGATTTAGCAATAAGTAATAGTTGCAAATACGAATAATTTTAGTGTAAGTAGGTATAGAAATAGTAGTTGCAACTATTACTTCTCCCTATCAGAACCAATCTTTTTAAGATAATTCGGTCAGCATTTATTTCAAATCTTGCTCTGCTTAATATAATTGGCAACATGTAAGGATTTCACGAGAGTGAAGTAGTGGATTAGATGACACAAAAGAGAAGGTTCAAGCTCTTATGATCGATGGAGAGAAGTCATTACCAATGAAAAAAAAAGAAGAATCTACGCCAAAACAACCATCAGTGTCCTCGAAAATTATTTCGTTCTCTTTCTCTTTAATGATATAAATATGAACAATATGTCAAACTGACATGTTAAATTGACCTTGTTTTATTTGACTTGGTAAACCTTGAAATATTAAAAAGCTCAACTATCGTTAAACATTCAAAAAGGTATAGAAAATCGATTTTTGGAAGCGTACGTTTGTCTGTTGAGGGGGGGACACTTAATTGAATTAAAGAGAATGAATAAGCAATGAAATGTCCTTTTAAATGTTAACAACGACAGATTCGTTACTGTAGTGCAAGCTTCCACAAAGTGGTTGATATTGACTCACGGGACAATGGGATTATTTAGGGGTTCGATAAATGTCTGGAGAGTTAAAAGGGGGTCAATAAATACCTGATTTGTGAATAAAAAGTGCAGACGCTCGATCTCATTTACAAAATGAACTCATTGATTTGAGTATGTGGATCTTGAAGCTAAATCATTGCCAAAAAGACCCCAGCGACTATCATGACAATCGGATGAAGGAGCTTTGCTGTGGAGTAATGGCGAAATGTTGATTTTACAGATGATTCTTCTTCTATCTACCGTGTCCATTCAGGACGTTAGCGTTCATAGCTCGCCACAATTTCCTGTCCTTTGTTGCTCTTAATAAACTTTGTCTATTTGTTATCACTCTTAATCCCAGTTCCGCCATCCATTTACTCAAGTTCGCTAGGTAGGCTATGCCTTGTTTTTTTCTGTCCCTCTTGAATTCAGACTGTCCTGTGAGTATCAAATTTTCCAGTCCCTCTTTCCTCACTATGTGCCCTAGAAATTTCAACTATCTCTTTCTGATGTTAAATATAAGTTACTCATTTTCTCTAAAACGTCATCATTTCTCACATGTTCGGACAATGGTATTCTCAGCATCCTTCTGTAGAACCATATTTCTGTTGCTTCAAGTCTATTCTTCAACTGTGATGAGATTATCTAGAATTTACTGCCATGTGGGAGGACTGATATTACGTAAGAATTCAGCACTCTTTATCTCTGTGAGCTACTCTCTGCTTGAAGTCTTATGCCAATACTAACGAACGCTTAGTCAATAATGGCTTACATTAAAACACCTAGTTCTCTCCGGCTTCTTTGAAGTTTATCCCTTTGTTTTTTGGCTCATAAATTGTTCTACTTAGAAAGGCTAGAGACAAAAGTCTGTACGACATTCGCTTTTCATTTGAACCGTTTGAACCAAACCCTTTATTAAAACAACAGGGTTCAATCACTCGCAACATATTAAAAAAATAAAAAAATAAAAACAGTCTTATTCCCTTTTGTGTCGCTTATCCTTTTCTTCTGACGAGCGTATTTGAATTTTCATCTCAGGGATTGAACTCACAAATACCAGGGACTCAGGTACATTTTAACTGAAGCTTTACTCCACTAGATCATGTATCTCCTTCAGAGAATGTTACCTATAAACAACTGAAGAAGGCCGGAAGATACGACTGCCGAAACGTTGTGAGTATAACAGCCCAAATCAGTTTATTAATCCGAATAAAAAATACATGTGCCGTATATACTCGTGTATAATCTAACTTTAGATATAGTGCGACCCCTGAATTTTTTGCATAAATTTTAAGCCACTCCAGAAAATAAATTGCCTGTGTATAATGAAACGGTGAGGGAAAATGAATGATTTTTAACCTCTTCCAAAAAATTACCTGTATATAATACAAAGGTCACGGAAAACGAATTATTTTAAACCTCATTCAAACAATTACCTGTAAATAGTGCAACGGTGAGGGAAAATGAACGATTTTTAACCTCTTCAAAAAATTACCTGTTTATAGTGCTACCGTCTATTTTATTTTATTTTTTTTTGTGTAAAAAAAACTGATCATGAAAAATGCGCTATACTCGAGTATGTATATACGGCAATAATCCCAGGCTTTATAGTTCACTGTCAATGACATTGCTAAAGTTTACTTTCCATTGAACAAGCAAATTGTTGATACGCTGTTTAGTTAAGCGAACACATATCGGATCAATTTCAGCCATTGCGCTTTTTCTCTGCCCCGCCTGTGTGCAGAGTAGTAATGCAGGTTCACTGTAGCCGTTTCAAAAGTATGACTCTGAAACAGAACTGTGGCCAGCAAGTACAGAAACCACACGCTTACTATATGCCTAATGCTACACCATGACAAGCAAAATAATCTCATTAATTCTGAGTAAGTTTTCAATACTAATCAAAATAGAATTGACATCCTTAACTGTACAATATTCTTCACTGCTGGTTAGATTATTGATTTGAAATTCAGTAAATATAAACAGATAAGAGCTTCATTTTACAGAGGAGTAGTTTGCTTGAAGTAAACAAGAATACATACACACACACATATATATATATATATATATATATATATATATATATATATATATATATATATATATATATATATATATATGTGTGTGTATTTTCAATTAAGATTGCATCAAAAGTTATCGTCTTTTAAGGAAGAGTAATTGATTAAAATATTACTGAACATAAATCCAATTTTACAGTCATGTCTCCAGAAGAGGTATTGTATTAAGATGTGATCTGCTGCAATGTTCTCTTGCTTTAGGCGGTTAACATATTTTTTCTTCCTTGTCAGTTTTCATGATATCTTTATTTACATTATTTACAGTCAGACTAATGTCCTCATCTTTGTTTTTATTATCACAACGTTTCGGCATTGTGTTTTTCGGTCTTCTCGTTCTACTATCCATGTAATTGGTTAATTGTTCTTTTAGTACTGCTCAGTTGTTGCTAGTGATGTTCCCACTGAGTCAGAACCTGTAATGCCCTGCCAAGGGATTGAACTCACAATTACGAAGCTACGAAATTGAAGAACCAACATTTTAATCCTCCAGGCTGTATTTGTTATCTCTAAAATGTACACATTTCTGTTATAATCTTGCTAGTTTTGCCCGCAATAAAATAGCCAGTTCCTACCGTTCCCCACCTTTCTGGCCTCAAGCATTATTTCTGCGGTCAAACGATTTTAAATCTTGTTCGCGTCTCATGACTCTACAACTACCATGACACAGTTACATTACTTGCTCATGTATTACGTAACATATACGCCGCCTGATTAAGTCCATGTGTACAAATTGGTTAGGGTTCACTGTCGTCTATAATTTCTTCATGGTTTAGTTTCTTCTGTATTGTAAACTCGGAAGAGCATTGATTTTCCATGCTCGAGAATCAGCCTCTCCTGCAGTTTCTAAAATGACTGCAGTCCAGTGTGTGAGAAGTAGACATAACCACAGATGTTGCATGTGCTGGTCTGTCCTAATGTTGTTTATAGAATGGTGGTGCTCTTCCGCTGTTTGTACTTCGTCCTTGTTCTCTTGGCCTTTCATTCATAAACCAATGTGGTTTCATGTTAACATCTCCTCGCGGATTGACAGCTGGTATTGAAGGCCGTATTGAGCGTTTTTTTCCCGGGGTGGCAGGGTAGATATTCTTCAATTTACACTTCAAATACAATAAATATCTCGTATTCAGGGCAAGTCCTTGTTTGGATTACTGAGGTGAGTATTGCAAAGTTATTATTACCCGAACTTTCTTTCAAGACATTTTCTAAGATTTTTCTCTTAAAAAACAAAAACAAATAAACAAAAAGAAATCATTTAGTTTTCGGAAAATGCTTATCTGTCTTAGATTTAATTGGTTGATTCGTTTTTACGGCTTATCACCCCATGGCCGGTTATTTAAAGCCAGAGAATATTTCTAGATTATAAGAATTTTTTTGAGATCATAATGATCTACTAAGTCCTACTAATTAACCCATAGTTGCGGGGAGAAGAGTTGGATTCATAACTTTCCTAATGGTATTTGCGCGCAAGTGAATATAATGAATCGAACGGAAATTGGAAACACGATTCTCTGATTAACAATTCCGAGTCATTATCCATTACACCGCCCGCACATCCAAGCATACAGCCAGTGTTCTTAAACGGTCACCCAACGGTCACGTTGCTTAACTTTGGTGATCATACAGGAAACGGTGTTTCAACGTAACATAACCGTAAACCTATCTTAGAAAAAATTTTGATATTTACAAGTATACATAGGTACCACTCTTTTGAGTAAAGGTTAATGTGTCAATCTAAGCTATCATGACTACTATTTTATGGCTTCTAGGCGCTCCACATTGATAACCTTGAGTCAGACAATTGTAAAGTTAGTGAATACCATTTAGGCCTCTTCTATGTTGTGGTAATAACAAAGAGTTCAATCCTCAAATGTGCAATGTTATTTTGTTCATTAGTCATAGATTGCTTCATATATTGCGGTGTGAAATCAGCAATGATGCCTCAAAGGCATCATCGTCATCTCACTTCGAAGGGAAAACAATCATAGATTTTCCAATTGCTTGGTGTTTCATCTTCAGGGCATGACAAAAATTACATATTTTTTAAACTCATTATTCCATCTTAATTCTTGTGTTCCATTTTTCGTTCTTTTCCGATTTCTAATATTTTCTTTTCCTTCGTTTTTTCTTGCCTGTCTTCATTTTTAACATATCCTTATCATCTTTCTTTTGTTTCTTTTTCTGTTTGTCTTTTTAGTTTTACACACATTTTCCCTCATCGTTGCCATCTTTGTTACTTTATTTGTATCTTTGTTTTTTTTATATGTCTGTTTTTTAACATATTTATCCTTATATCACTATTTTGTTTCTTTTTCTGTCTTTCTGGTTTTAAAACATTTTCCCTCATCCTCGCCGTCTGTTACTTTATTTGTATCTTTTTTCTATGTCTGTTTTTTTAACATATTCATCCTTATAATCTTTCTTTTGTTTCTTTTTTCTCTTTTTCTTTCTCTTTTTCACACATTCCTCCTTCATCATTTCCATTTTCCTTTCTTTTGCACATTTTTTTCTTTTTTTAATATCTTTCTTTTTACTCTTTTCTTTCTTATCGTAACTCGAATCTTACTGTCTTAATCTGTGGTATTGTCATTTTATTTTACTTTTCTTTTTTTTCTTCTCTTCGCATTCCTTTTATCATTGTATCTTCCCATTTAATTTTGCTCTTTGTCACTATATTTTATATTTCTTTTTCTACTCTTAAGTGTTTTTGTATTTTTTTTCGCCTTAATCTTAGTTTATTCCTATTTTTGATCTTACCTAGATTTATTTCTATCTCTTCTAAATCCCATCCGTGTTCATCTATATTTATTCCCATCTCTTTGCTTCTTGCGTTTTTCTCAGCACGGAAAGAAGTCGAAGCATGATATTAGATTCGAAATTGCCAACACAGCGACATCAGTTCCAAACTCGTCCGGAAATATCAATATTGTGGAAGGAAGTTGTGATTTATTTTCGTCATCGCCGAAAACGCCATTTTCTTTCTTTTTGTTTTTTTTTTTTTTACCATCTTGATTTAAGAACACTATAATTTTATTTATATATTTCTATATAATTATATTTTCTGTATTTGTTTGTCGTTAAGATATCTGTCCTCATTCACAATCTTGTTTTTTTTCCTCAGAAGAGGAAATATGAGTGCTATAATTGTTTTGAGGTTCTGTTTTCAGGCAAGTTTTGTTTACACTTGGTATTTTAGATTTTATTAACGCCATTTTAACTCGACTCTTAAAAGAATTTGGTTATTTTACAAGCTAGGAACTGTCTTTCATTGATTTGAATTTTTATTTTTTTTAATAAGCTGACGAATTGTACATTACAGATAGTTTTCAATCGATGTACACTGTCAGATTTTATTATGCAAGTGAATGTTTTTCACAATAAAATCGGTATTATTATGATGTTGGTAACATTTTCAGTGTGTACTGATATCAGCAATATATCCTATGATTTTTAGGTTTCAATATTAGTTCTTATAAATTTTGGCTATAAGTAGTTTGGGGTGGCAAGTTTTATTATACAATGTGTAATATTTTTTATTTATAAATAAATTCAAAATACAGCATCAGAAAGATATATTTGATCAACACACTATTCCATATATGAATATAAATTATTATTTTATTATTCTAGATGTAAATAAGGAATCTTTAACGTTCTGTAATTTTCATTAGTCTTTCATATATTGATTTTGTTAACTTTTTAATGTTTCGACTTTAATATAAATGAAATCAGTTTTTATTGTTTTTCGTGTGTCTTATTTGTTACCATATTGCGCCCCATTCCCAAATCTCTTTTAATGATGCGCCATGTTCTGATTGGATTGTTATTTGTAGAAGCTGTGGACATTCCATTAATCGGTGTCTTTGAAACATTGAGGTGGGCAAAATGGGCGAGAATCAGCTTTGTAGAATGTAAAGGAGCATTATCTTACATGAATAAAAATTTTTCGCGTAAGAATTCTTAATCGTAACTTGTGCCGCTCAAAAATGTTTTGTCCAATAACTTATAACTCTCTATATTTATAGTGACAGCAGCATTAACTTTTTTTTTTATAATCTTTACATTTTATTATTATCCCAAAATATCATTTGACTTCCCCATGTTATCTTCTAAGTTTTATTGACTATTTCCATGAAGAAGTCAACATCTAACCCAGTCATCAGGTCCATCCAATGTAGCTCTACATTCATCAGTAAACGTTACTGTTAAGAAATACGTTTTCATGTACTTAGACGTTTATTTAATTATGGCAGTTTGGTTGCTTTCATGTCTTTAGATAATGTTCTTAATATTCTCCTGTCTGTGTACATGTAAAAGCAGCTTTTTCGAATATTTTTTTCGTCATTCCACTTGCTTATGACCCTTTTAATTTATATCCCAAATCATTTTGTTTTTGATATTCTTAAAATCAGTTATTATTTTGCTAATTACATTTTGCTTGTACTCTGGTCTCTGATCAATTATGTCGCTATTTCCATGGTTATGTTCTCATCATTGGATATCTTTATAATATATTATTTCACTTGTTTGAGGTTTATATATCTGAAATTAAAATATAAATATCAGTAACTATACTATCACACACACACACACACACACACACACACACACACACACACATATATATATATATATATATACTAGCAGCATGTCCCGGCGTTCCCCCGTGTTTGATTCAAAAAATCGTACGACTCATATAGCAATCGCTATCACTTAACTTAAAATATTTTTTGCCCTTCCTTGCCTTTTAAAAGAGTGCCCTTTTAATTGCTGATGTTGCTACATGCCTTACTTCTTGCCTATCTCACACTGCGAATTTTTTCTAAGCTCTATGCTAAACATTAAATCTGTTACGAAAAAAGAACTAAACAAAATGAACACAAAATGATCAGCTTTAAAAAAGGAAAAACCGAATGAAAAAAGAATGTTAACAGCAAATACTTTTTCACACCCAACCCAGTTCTGCGGAATTAGAATCAACGTTGAGTTTAAGCAAGCGAACGAGCCAAATGGAGTAAAGTGCCATGCAGAATTAAATTTTTCCCACTTGTGACGAATGCAGCTATCGATTTTTTGCATGCTAGCATGCTAGTTAACATTCGTGTCAGCTGTTGGCTCTCACGCTGACCAATAGAATCTTCCTGCCTATTCGTGGCAACCAGCTATAGGCTCTCCTCTGGCCAGTAGAAAATGGCCGCAAACTACCATTTTTAACTGCCGTAGAAGCATGAAAAATCGATTATCCCACTAACTGAACTTGCATGTGCATGTAAATTTTGGTGCAAATTTTCGTCGAAAATTGTCGCCAATTGCGGCCGTTAACAATCGTTACACGCACACACACATCCTGCCTTATATATATATATATATATATATATATATATATATATATATATATATCAGATGACTAGACATGTATTCGATTGCCAAGCTGGAATCGAAGAAAAACCCGACCGATTTCACATTAGTCGGAGACTCTCCTCCATAGATCATCAGCTAGGAAGAAAGGGAATTTTTTAACAAATTATATACAAGATATATATGCATTAACGGCTACCAAAGGGCTCAATTAATAGCGAAGAGCTTAGCATTAACCAGCAGCAGCAGCAGCCAACAAATCCCCTTTCTTCTATAAGTGCGCAAACCACGAAAGGGAGCGTATATAGTCATCCACAGACTGTTTCGCTGTATCACACTCATCAGTGTGTCTAGACATTCAAGCCGGGATCGAAACTCGAACGATTTGACATCAGTCGAATGCATACTCAAATGCTAAGAATAATAGCTAGTTTAAAATAAGCTATAACATAAACCAAGGGCTCAATGCCAACTTGGAGAGAACCTGAATAAAATATATTATAATGAAATTATTAATACAATATCAAAATCCGCTAATCAGAGTTTCAAGCGATAACAATCATCAGTCGGATATAATCTGTTTTTTACACACACACACACACACACACACACACACACACACACACACACATATATATATATATATATATATATATATATATATATATATATATATATCCAATCGACATTTTTAAAGAAGCCCAAACATTCACGTGGCGAAATTTTAAATTCAGTAGACAAGGGCGTTCGAAAGTCGTCCACTCTACCTTTGTGTGATATATTTGCTAGAGGAAATATAACGTCCTACAAGTTTTTCAGATTGAATGCCACTGCAACAAATGGGTAGAAGAAAAAACAATCTTAACATTGCCCCATTTGACTATCTTTCAACCAGGATTATCTGGACAGTCACTCTCTTGTAAATACGACGGAAACTTGATTCCTTGGGGAGGAGTTAGACTTGCCAAGGGAGATAAATGAGATGATTATTTCGTGTTATATGAATCTGTTCAGCAAGCTCGTCACGTTTTCAATTCAGCACTAACGGTATTCGTGACACTCGCTTTTGACACTCTCTTCTCATTTGTGTTGTGGGAGTTGATATGTTGGTTAATCTCATAAATATCTTTACAAGGAAAATACACTGAGGTGGGTCAAAAGTTCAAAACAAGAATTTTTCTAGTATATCCAGGTGTTGCTTTCGGCTTAAAGAGAAAGAATAGTTGAAACTGATCCAAACTATTGTTTTGCGATTGAATATTGATGAAGGTTTTGATAAAAGTCCCGAGACTGAATTATTAATATTATATATATATATATATATATATATATATATATATATATATATATATATATATAATATATATATGGGTCGAGTGATGTAGAACGTTTGATTTCCGACCATGAGATATGTTCGAATTTTCAGGAAGGTGACTTCTTCCTGTTATTGAGCTGGGTAGGCGATCCCAGCGTGTATCCCTTTGAAAGATTCATGAAAAATTTTAGAACAGGTTGACCCATGCCTTGTGAGTGAAGTAGACTGAACTGTTCCGAAACCGTCAATGGTAACAAGAAATCACAAGTCATCGTGACCGAGGATTTCAGCGTATTGGCGTTGTTCGAATCAGCTTGATAATTAAATTATGCACTCTGTCACGGAAACTGTAATTAATGTCACCTCTGCGTAGACACAGTTCAGCCCTGTCTCTCTCTCTCTCTCTCTATCTCTATATATATATATATATATATATATATATATATATATATATATATATATACATGTATGTATGTATTATAATAAAGAGAAAGAACAGTAAGATATATAATCCGGTGTTCTACTTAATATTTATATTTTACAAAACAGTGCTCAATGCAAATCTACAGAATTAAATATTATAAATTTACTAATTTAAAAATATGGTTCCATTGCTACATTTTCAACCATGTTTCAAAAATTGAAAATAAAAAACGAATTTGAATTTTTTATAAAACAAACTAAAAATTTTGAAACATGGTAATTCCTGTGAATAAATGTAAACATTTTTGAAATTAGTAAATTTATAATATTATATATATATATATATATATATATATATATATATATATATATATATATAAGTGTTTAATACACAATGTCTGTTGAAGAATATACTAATTAGCTAAATGAAGAAATTATCTGATTTTACTAATTAGCTAAATCTTGAATGTACATAACT